CAATAAAACTCACGAATCAAGTCTAACTAGTCTATTTTAGAAACACAACCTCGATCTGCAATGGACATACATAGAGAAGTACACTCAATTGATATGCGCTGTTTATTCTTCACAATAAAAGATGATACTTCCTAACACTTTGGATCATCCATTATCCACGCATCTAAAGCTCTTACGAAATGTTTTAGCACGAGGAGATTTACCGCATTTCAGACATAACTGCGTTTAACCATAATCAGCAATTTAGAAACCTTGAAAAGCCAACTTCGGCTAATCAGCCGGAATAAAATCAGTCACTTGACTCAAGTGTTGTTACGTCTGAGGTTAAAAACGGAAACGTGCTTGGAATAATAGATTGATTCTTTTGAGTTCCAAAGCTTTTGTAATTTGTAAATCTAGTAGGATAGTGGTTCATGATTTTAGTTTTTTTGGTGGAGTTTAATAACTAAAGATCTATGCAGTTATTGCATTTCTTAAATTGTCACATTTTTTCGGAAGTTAATTTGATAGCTTTTTGGATTACTTTACTTGATGAGTTCTTGTTGAACTCACTTTCACCGGGTTGCTGATTCAACGCGTTTCAAGTATGACTGTGTTTGCTAAAACATATCAATTTGAGTAATGCATAAGTTTAGGTCGTTAATTTGTGTTAGGTGAGAACTTACGAGATGAACCTTCTCCTTATCACCCAACAATTTAGTTATTATTCACTAGTTCTATTTTCTAACAGTAGTTTTTAACTTAGTGTAATTTAGTTGAAACAAAGAACGCTTGCAACAATAAACTCAATGGACAATGCAGATTTCTTCTCGGTTCTTTTCCAGGTCTCCTCCGAGTTGTTAGCTTCTGTCAAATCCACNATGTTTGCACAGTTGAGAAAGCAACATAATTAAATTTTTCATAACACTACCAATAAAACTCACGAATCAAGTCTAACTAGTCTATTTTAGAAACACAACCTCGATCTGCAATGGACATACTTAGAGAAGTACACTCAATTGATATGCGCTGTTTATTCTTCACAATAAAAGATACTTCCTAACACTTTGGATCATCCATTATCCACGTATCTAAAGCTCTTACGAAATGTTTTAGTACGAGGAGATTTACCGCATTTCAGACATATCTGTGTTTAACCATAATCAGCAATTTAGAAACCTTGAAAAGCCAACTTCGGCTAATCAGCCGGAATAAAATCAGTCTCTTGACTCAAGTGTTGTTATGTCTGAGGTTAAATACGGAAACGTGCTTGGAATAATAGATTGATTCTTTTGAGTTCCGAAGCTTCTGTAATTTGTAAATCTAGTAGGATAGTGGTTCATGATTTTAGTTTTTTGGTGGAGTTTAATAACTAAAGATCTATGCAGTTATTGCATTTCTTAAATTGTCACATTGTTTCGGAAGTTAATTTAATAGCTTTTGGATTACTTTACTTAATGAGTTCTTGTCGAACTCACTTTCACCGTGAAATTCCATTGGTTGCTGATTCAACGCGTTTCAAGTATGACTGTGTTTGCTAAAACATATCAATTTGAGTAAAACATAAGTTTAGGTCGTTAATTTGTGTTAGGTGACAACTTACGAGATGAACCTTCTCCTTATCACCCAACAATTTAGTTATTATTCACTAGTTCTATTTTTTAACAGTAGTTTTTAATTTAGTGTAATTTAGTTGAAACAACGAACGCTTGCAACAATAAACTCGTCAGGCGAAACTAGAGTTTTCGTTAGTTTGCGTTTTTCTCACAGGACTTAAGATTTTTTTATAACTGCGTCCTACAACTGCATTTCGTAGCGCTAACTATGAATGTAGAGGTAATAAAGTACATTTCTCAAAGATTAAAAAAAATTGCACTGCAATTTGTAGTGTTTGAAAAATTTGTTCAATGCTTTTGATTCCAAGCTGCACTAGAAAAATCATTAGATTACTTGTCAATGATATACATGCAATTTTATTTCAACTTTTTGCACTCAATTTGAATTTTCTGCACTGTTTGGAATTAATTGACGTTCTCTCAGCCAATCAGCATGCCGAAATTTTGTATCGTATATTATTTTGCTAAGAATCAGACACTTATACAAATCCCCTTAATCGTATATTACAGCGACAGGGCTTGTAAAGCTTTTTTGTTAAAGTTTATTGAGTGAATAAACTGCTGTTGGAACCAAAGCCGAGTCGTTGCTGTTCTTGCCTGTCCAGTTCGTGATTAGATCCCGGAACCCAGCAGTGCTCATGCGAGTGCTGTGCCTCGTTTGAATCTAATTTTTCCCACTAGACTGGTCGTAGTTAACTTGTTATGGCACTGACATTCAGAGTTCGCCAGGTTTCAGTTTTCGCCAGCGATTTTCAACACAGTCAACACAAACCGTTGTTCGCTGAATCTTTGCCCCATTGGGGTTAATTCCCATATAAAAAAGGACGGCAGTGCTTGTCGCACCTTTAAAGGGTTAAGAAAGCATTTTCGGTACCTCTTAGGGTGCTCAGCTTAAGAAAGGTCCACAGCGAACGTGTAGGGCAGTTGAGTCGAAAAAAAAAAAAACATGACGGGAGATATTTGACAATCAACTGATTTTTAATTTTATTTCATGAAATCGTCTTTATCGCCAAAACATTTTCTACTTAGATAATTTACCATCAAAGTATTCGATTTTATGTACAACTTCCATTAAACAGGACAGAGATTTAGGACGATGCTTTCATAAACTTTACGAGTAGAGGGTATTCGAAGCAATCGTCTTCATCTATTTATCGTTATTAAAAATTGTCAGTTTATGTGCCGTTTTAGAATTGGTACCTTTTAAGCCACGCCCACAAAACAGGATCTTGGTACCTCTGAGGGATTTTTTCAGAATTTCCCAATAGCACCCCCGTCCTTTTTATATGGGAGTCCCCCCCGGGTAATGTGGTTCAATTTCACCATTTCACCACCTTTGTTTTATAATCATTATAATATATTAGCATACATCAGAACAAAGGAAAATACAAAATTGCATCAAGGGTAAAATTGAACCAAAACGTAACATACGACAGAGATAGCTCTAAAATTGTCTCAGTAAACAAACTCGTCAATTGAATTATAAGCTTGTTATGTACGGCTTGTTATAGATATATAGCCAGGTCTCAAACTAAAGCAGCACACAACAGGCAAAAAACGTTTATTCTCTGGTACACAAGATCACAAGCTTTGATTCATTTCGCAAAGACAAAATCAGTTCAATCACACATTTTAACAAAGCATACATGATTTTTACGTTGAAGCTTACAAGGAAAAGAAACGGTTCGTGTTGGTGACTTTGGTAAAACAAAGACGCGGTCGGTTTATTTCGTTACAACCGGTGGCTTTTTCGCTAACGGCGCTGTATTGACTTCGTATGGGGGCTGCCCGTCCTCGTTCCTCGTTAAGGGCGTGGCAGGTAGTCCCTCACCTTTGCTCAGTGTTTATCTGTCTTCGCTGCTTACAATACCTAGTAAACCAAGCTCAGCCAAATTTCTGCGTGGTAACATCGAAAATTTATCTACCTTCATGAATCAGAGAGCACAGAATAAACTTAAATCACAGCGAAATTCGCTCAGTCTTTAAATGCGAATTTTGCGGACCTTGGTGGTTTTTGGTCCGCGGTTGAACCTCAACAAGAAGTTGGACAATGCAGATTTCTTCTCGGTTCTTTTCCAGGTCTCCTCCGAGGTGTTAGCTTCTGTCAAATCCACGACCATTTCATTTGTAACGCGAACACCACTCGCGCCAGGAACATTGTCTTCGTTTGAAAACAGGTCACATGACGATCCGTCTGAATTACATACGTTAAAATCGTCCGTAGTGGGCGAGTTTAAAACGTTGAGAAACTGCGACAGATCCGTGCCTAATGACCAGGAAGACTCACGAGTATCGTCTATATCGAGTTTGACTTCTTTTCCTGTTTTATGATCCCACTTCTGGCGTGAAGTTTTCAGCGTCATTTTACCATCTTCTTCTACCAGGTTCTCTGACGTAGTGTAGCTGATCTCTTGGTATCTGTACTTGATGGCCGCTCGCGGTGTCTTTGCGCTTGTCTTACTCCAAGCCTCGTCTTTTTCAGCTGCTGGCGCAACTTTGTTTCTCTTGAATCCTCTCTTTGCACGTCTCTTACCATTACAATTCGTTTCTCGTTTCCCCAATCCTCCGCCGTCATCGACTTTGTCATCCGCCCCAGCAAGCGAACTCATCACATTGTGCAAATCATTTTCATCGGCCGCCTGAAGTTTCTTGACTTTTGATTTACGAACAATTCGAACACCGAAACGACTGTTATTCGTTTTTTCAACGCCAAAGTTTATGAAGTACAAGAAAAAATACAACACTAAAGATATCCTGGGATATACAGGCGACATCTTTACATTCGATTTTTCTTCAGTTTTTCACAATATGCTCTGATGACGTCTGTGTGCGTAACAATTGTCTACCGAACTTTTAAAAGCGCGCGCACGTTTGCTTTTTTAAAATCTTTAGAGCCCGCACGCAAGTTTCGCTTCTTAAACTACTCTACTGATAGGGGAGTTTGACGGGGAGAATTTCTAAACATTTTCAGTCAACTTTACATTTACTCACTGATCAGTTTCTTTTAAAGAGACCTACGCACAAGTGTGCTTGTTATATGTGGTTATTGACCAAGCGTGATGTCAAGATGGTTGGATTCTTTTATTACGAAATTGTACATCATCATCATCATCATCATCATCATCATCATCATCATCATCATCATGATCATTATTAGTATTAGTATTAGTATTAGTATTACTTTGGCCTATAATTATAATTACTGTGGACCTCGACCCCGTCGCGGTCCATAAACATGCAAAAAAAGAACTTAGCCAATATCCAGCCATCTTGACCAATTATGGCTCCTGGCAAAAGGCATATTTGAAAATTAACTTTTTACAACTTGGCCGTGATACACATTCTCTCAGTACGTAGTTCTGTTATTTCACAACAGAAGATACAAAATGGAACTTACCAGAAAAGCCAACTAATAGTTTGTGTATTTGTCGATACATATCCCGTATATGTTGTTGTTATTACCTGTTAATCTTTTTTTTTCTGTGATTTGAATTTTCTATATGGCTGTTAAATTTCGCGTGTTTAAATCTCGCGAGGATTTTTATTCGTGGGTCTTTGATTTCGCAATTTATTTACAATCGCGGAATTTTAAAAAGATCCGCGAAATTAATTACCAGAAAGGTAAATTGTCTTAGCAGTTAAAAATAACAAGCTCGCCTCGATCGCGGCACGAAATTCCGTCGCAACCCGCTCGCGTACGCGTGGCATGCATGTTATCGTTCAACTTTCCTGTCAGTGGATAGTCAACTAGATTCATGTCACGCACTATTTGGATAAGACAATCTTACATTGATAATCTGCAATGGACACGACAGATAACGTGACTTGCCACCATGTTTGCAATTGTGTAAGACTACTTAAGCGCGCGGCGCGATCGAGGTGAGCCTGTTATTAAAATGTCCTGTTATTAACTGCTAAGACAATCTATATTCATTCATTTTATTTCCAATAATCTATTTCTTTTTTCGGGACGAAATAAATAGAAAAAGAAAACAATTGGCTTGACTCGTGGTTGCCTCGTGACTAGAGGTTGAGTTGGCTCGTGTAACGCTACGACTCGATTAATGACCAGCGAATCAAGATAATCGAATGCTCTGGGAAAGTCGAAAAACAAAGGCAATTCTCGCTGCTTAGAGGTTGTATTCGTCTGCATAGACATTCGCTATTTTCCAATATCGTGTTTCAATCTTTTGTGACTTTCTGTTACTGGATATGCGATTTCATTCTCAACTATATGTTCTGACAAAAGTCTTCTCTAGTATGCTAGTAGAAAGCTGAGGTAAAACAGCTTTCGGTTTCTCATTATTTCATTAATCTGATGCTTCCTTCACTTCTAACATTTTATATTTTTAACAGAGCAAATAAATTCCTCCATGGCAAGTGAAAATCCCGTACAAGAAACGGAAGGCGAATTCCGGAACAGTAAAGCTCTGTTTGTGAAAGGAGTAAGGATGCCTCACATTTACGTTTACTTAACAGGATTCAAAGATTTCATCGAAAATTTCCAAACTCGACATGATGATGTTTTTATAGTCGGTTTCCCCAGATCAGGTGAGTCAAAAGAATTTGTGTGTTAAAAACGATCGCAACGTATTGGACCGGAAATAGACCTGTGGTATGTTGTTATTTGTTTACTTATTTATTTTGTTTGATTATTTATTTGTTAAATTACCATCATCATCGCCATCGTCATTATTATTACTATATGTATTCATCTTGAGTAAAAATAAAAAACAAACTGCGGTCACAAACATAACAAAACAACGTATGAAAGGCCACAGGATAAAATGGGATCACTTTAACATTTTAGCCACCGGACGATCTGATGTGCATTGTAAAGTTAAAGGAACCTTATTGATTCGTGATTTGCAACCAGCACTTAATGAAAATGTTGGCAGTGAGAAACTTCTTCTTTACTAGCCATTTATATGTTTTTTGTTGTTGTTGTTGTTGTTGTTTTTTTTTTTTGCAGATTTTAAGTCTGTTTAGTTTCATTTATATCTATTGTCATTTCTTTCCTTATTAGGTACCGGTTTTCCTTATTAGGTACTAGTCTTCTAGTTTAAATTTATTGTAATGCAGCCAACCGTTTTATACTTCTGATGATGTATGTAGAAGCACACGAAACGTTAAGTTCTCAAATCAAGGTTTTTACAACATGCATTGTTTTTTAGGTTTGTGACCGCAGTTTGCTTTTTATTTTTACTCAAGCTGAAATGGCCAAAGAATAGAGTTTCTATGTATTCATCTATTAATTAATTAATTAATTAATTTATTTATTTATTTATTTATTTATTTATTTATTTGTTATATTAGTGAACTTTGTTTTTGGGATCTTTCTCTCTCCCTTACCCCGTTAAGGGCCTGTTGAAACGCGAATAAGAACAGAAAGGCTCAGCGCACGACCGAGCTAGATTGTCAGCTTTGCTTCCTACGTCATAAATTATTGCAGTTACTTTAGGTTAAAATATTTTGTACCAAAGCCCATTTAATCATTGCAACTTGTGTTATTGCGCTTTCATTTGGTCCTTATGTATAGGAACCACGTGGCTTCAAGAGATCACGTGGGAGATCTTTAATGATGGAGCAACTAGCACCAAACCTATCGGTCATAGAGTGCAATTCTTTGATGAAGCCAAATTCCCCCACACCACCCAGCCTGACATCACCACTCAATCCAGTCCCCGCCTAATGAAGACTCATCAACCATTTCATGCAATTCCCAAAGGAACATGTGACGCCTCAAGATGCAAATATATATATGTTGCGAGAAATCCACGCGACGTCGTGGTGTCGTATTATAATTTCGAAAGCAAAATGGCGCCACTGACTGGTTATTCAGGACCTTTTGAGTTCTTTGCCGACATGTTTATAAAGGGAGCAGGTAAGGAACGAACATTTCACATTTTTTCATGATGTAGTATTTTGTCAGTGTGTTGATGATTGCGTGTTATTTTTGATTTCAGTATATTGGGGTTCCTGGGCTGAACATGTCGTGGGCTGGTGGAACCACAAAGATGATGGTAATGTTTTGTTTCTTAAGTACGAGGACTTGAAAAAGGTTTGTGGCTTTAAACTTAACACTGCTTTCCAAGAGTGAAAAACTTCTAAATTATCTATAAAATGTTTTAAACCATTTTCCCAGTGCCCCTGAATGGGTGGCCCCTCACTTTGAGCGTAATGTGACTCTGGGGACCGGACAACTTTTTTTCCATTTTTGACTCTCCTACCAGGGACAAGTCCGGACTAATTGCATTGAATTTTTTAAATTCTTATAAACAGGATTATGTTTTCTTCATTCATTCTATGGAACTTGCAGTTGTGAAACCTTTACATTTGTTTCTCTCAGAACTTACCTTCTCAAGTACGTCTCATCGCAAAATTCCTGGGTAAATCATTGACAGAGGAGACGGTGGAACGCATTGCTAAGCAGTGCACCTTTGACGAGATGAAAAAGAATGCATCAGCTTACTGGATGATGACTCGAGATGGTGAATTACCCAATTTTCTCAGACGTGGTGAGGTTGGAGGCTGGAAAAACTACTTCACCCCTGAGTTAAACGCAAGGTTTGAAAGCGAGGTGCTGAGCAAACTGGAGGGCACTGGACTCCAGTTTGGTTTTGGTCAGTGATTAAGGAGACCTCCCAAAATGCAACTGGGTTAAGTTAATTATGTTCAAAGCGAACTAAACGTAGGGTTTAACCTGACATTTTCAACTGTATGAAAATCATCACGTTGACACATAAAAAATCGTAAACGGGAAGGTTTTTAGAAATGCGTCCTTAATTAGCATAGAATTTTGCAGTTTGCAGCATTTTTTTTAAACTGCCTTTAATTTCGTTTCGATTGAGAAGATATTCCAGACATACAATAAAGTTTTTAATCACATTTTCGTGAAGGAACTTTCTTCAAAAATATCACAATGCGCGTTACATTTTTAATTCAACTCTCTTCTTGCGAATATGAATACGAACTGTATTCATAAGCCAAGACGGTAAATATTATTTTATCTATTGAAGTAGCCTTACACTACTTACAGTACAATACTTACACTGCTAAACTTTGACAATTATACAAGCATACAAGTGACCATTTTCTGGGCGAGACCAAGTATTTTAGCGGCAAAACTGGACCAATAAACAAAGAGAGGCATTTTAGTCGGAAGTAAAATAAGCCAAAGTCAACTAAAAGGGCAATATTTTGTATACCAACACGCGTTTTGTTAGTAATATTGTATTGTAAGTAGTTTCGTATTTGTTTAAGTCGTTCTAGTGCTGTATAGTATAAGTATTGCTTTATAAGTAGTATAGTTTAAGTAGTGTTGTAACATGTTGTGCATCAAATAAATAAATTTAAAAAAAAAAGAGCCAAAGCCAACTAAAAGGGCAATATTCTGTATACCAGCATACGAGCTCTTAAAGATCTACGTTCCGAGTGTGTTTGATCACCATAGTAATCGCTATCTGACTTAGAAATCGATTCCCATCGCTCCTGAATCTCCAAGCTTTCAAATTTGTCTTTGTAACTGTATTCTTCGCTTTCATACGCGTCAGAGCGACAGGTGAAGCAAATAATTCCACCTGTGAAGAGAATTTGAACGTTCATCAAATTAACGCGAATTGAACAATCTCTTCCGACAGACCACGATTCTTTAGGTCAGCAGAAAGAATCGGAATCTCTCGGTTAAATCTGAAGACCTCAAAAGTTAGTCACGTTTAGTTACAGCTATTTCTCTCTCTACGAATGATCAGAAGCCATTACTAAACTTGAACGCATGCATTCTCATCCCTAGTACTTCTCGTTTTAAAATGGCGTTAACGACCTCGTGACCAAATGAAACGGAGGCTCTGGGCACGAGAATAGGACACATGCGCACCATCAAACCGGAACCAGGTTTTTCTGGTTCTGGTTTTTCAATCTGTCCACAGTGTCTGGTCACCGCTGAGCGAGATTGACAACAGAGTAGAGAACTAGTGAATATCTGACTTCCATTATTCATCTCATTTTGGGTGTTTCAACGGGGACTAACCTGGTTTTATCCATCGTAGAATCTCGTCAAACACAGAGGGCTTTATTTGTCCAGGGGTAAACACTCCTGCTGCTAATATGCCGTCATATTCAGCATTTTCTATATCAGCAACCCTTTTGTTTGTCACGTATGAACAAATCAAGCGTTTGTAGATTCCTTTCTCTCTGGCTTTTGCCAACATTTCTTCAGACAAGTCTAGTCCCACCATATTTTCAAACCCGTACTTCTCCTTCAGGATTTGTCCCAGCAATCCAGTGCCACAGCCCAGATCCAACAGCTTCAGGTTCTTCTTCTCAATGTCACCATAAACTTCACTCGCAGCCGTATTGAAAGTCTCTGCACAACTGATGTGTCCGACATAGCCTGGGGAGGAGTCTTGTTGTGTACCATTGGCCCACTTAAAAGTAAAAAGATAACACATGTCATTTCCTTTGTTCCCTTAGCCATTTGATTCTTTAGCTGGTGAGGCTTGGGCCCGAAATATTCATGCCTCAACTCCTTCAATCTCGAGTCCACAGTTTCTGCAGCCGCAGTCAGCGGCTGGGTCACCGGGAGAAACTCTTGGATACTGAAATAAATTTGATTGAAATGTTGATTGGCTATTGGCTGCAACGAAGAAAGGACGGATATCAGTCATATGAAAACATGAATCATTTTTCATCAATGTTCATAAATTGGCTGTGGTTTAGAGCAGAAATCATAGAACCAGAGGAAGAGAGTTATAATGTTGCAAGGAAGCTTTTTGTCATGGCCATATAAAATCAATCAAAAGAAAGCAAATTCTATGTATACTACATAAAAAATATATTTATTAATTTTATATTTATATGTCTGGTAAAGGAGTACCTGGAAGGGTTCAGTCTCAAGTTTAATAGCAATGGAGGTCGGCACACATGAGGGGGACTAGTCTCTGCAACCAGTCCCTGCAACCAGTCACGGGGACAAGTCCCATCTTGTGAACTAGCCATTTTTGCCACAAAATATAGTCGCAGGGACTAA